TGTTGGATCGATTTTCCTACAAATGACACAAATTTATCACTCTTTGTACCTGAGTAATACTCCACTGTGTATGAATACCACATTTTCTTTATTCATTCATCGGGTGACAGATACACAGGTCATTCTCAAGATTTAGCTACTGGACTTACGCTGCTATAAACATGGGTATGCACGTATCACTATAATATGTCTTCAGCTCTTTTGGGGAAGAAACTCAACAGAATGGTTACATCGCTGTATTGAACAGAATTTTTAGTTCTTGGTTTTTTTTTTTTTTTTTCTTTCCATTTTTATCGGTACCGGGGATTGAACTCATGACTGCCTGCTTGCAAGGCAGGTACTTATGCCGCTGAGCTAAATCCCCAGCCCCAGTTCTTGGTTTTCTGAGGTATTTTCATAGTGGTTCCCATAATGTTTGCACTAGTTTACGTTTCCCCCAACAATGTAGAAGGGTTCCTTTTCTCACAACCTCACAAACATTTCTTCCTCTGCCACCTTCTAACGGGCCTCAGCATGGTCTTAGGCTGACACAGAAAAGAGCGTTCAGAGAGGCTGAGTGACAAAGGGCCGGGACCTGACAACAGGAGTTCCCATTCTAAGCACATGGCTCTCTGCATCTGTGTATATAAGACATATTGACCAGATGCCAGTTGGTAGTGGCAGGCCTAATGCTCAGGTCTGCCTTTCCTAAGACAAGCAAGTCAGGAACCAAGTGAGAAGGTGAATATTTCTTAAAGGGACCTCTGGCTGACGGAGACTGTTTACCGCCAAGGAGCCTGGGTTGTGCTCTGACTATCCCCAGGGCTTCTCTGTAGACAGCTCCTCTGCCATAAATGCCCCCTCTGCTGGGCTGTGTTCTGACTAACCCAGGGCTTCTCTATAGACAGCTCCTCTCTACAGACAGTTCCTCAGAAGGACTAAATAAGACTACATTTAAATATTCAGCGGGCGGGGCCTACATTCACTGCTCCAGACACATCAGCTGTTTTTCCTGTGCTCACCCATGTCACTGATGAAGGTAATCAGGCGCAGAGAGGGGTTAAGGGATGTGACCAAGGCCACACAGCTGGCCCGTGGCTGGGTCCTAGGTCTCCTGACTTGGGTCCTTAACTTTTTCCATTATGCCACACTGGCCCTGCCGCTCCTCCACCAGAGGCGTCAGCCCTTCCCATATGCTGTGAGCCAAGTTACTTGTGAAAAAGCCCAAGGCTACATGCCAGACAGGAGGGAGGGGACAAAGGAGTCATGAAGTCATCCAACTGGAGGGTGTCGAGGCCCCATGCGGGCTGGCCTCCTGGCCTGGTCCTGGAGAATAGCTAGGCTGGACTGGAGCAGTTCTTCCCTCACCTCTTCCTACTGCCTGTGTGGCGTGGACATGGGGTGGACAAAGGCCACTCCCAGAAGGAGCTGATCCCTCTGGAATTCCAAGACTTTCCCACCCCAGCCACGCAGCTGGGACTCCTTGGAGCCAGCTGAAGCCCTGCTTTTGGACAGCTTTGTTCTAGGAAGGTTGGACTGCTTCTGACAGTTATTTATGTGACAACAAACCCCCCACTATTCCCAATTACGCTGAACCAATGGAGAAGAGAACCTTATTTTTACATTCTGGTAGACATAAAGTTAGGTCAGGACTGGAGAGCGGAGGAAGCACAGGCTTCAGATCTGGAAGACCCAGGATCAAACTCTGGCCTAAGCAGTCCTGAGATGTCACCTGGAGCAAGTCACATCTGTGCAGAGGGACAGATGACAACTAATATGCTTACTGAGTCAGGCACATCTCATTTAGATATCATAACAAACACAGGAAGCAGGCACTTTCATTCCCGTTGTGCAGATAAGGAAACTGAGGCTCAGAAACACACAGAGGTGACACCAAGCTGAGACTTTAAAAAGCAAAGTTGTGGATTGACCCTGGGTCTGTCTTCAGCCTTGGCTATGCTGGAAAATATAACACAGTGTAGCCTAGGCTTCAGAAGTCAGCAGAATGTCCCCTTTAAGAGGTTCCTGACCTTTCTTCCTATACCCATCACGGAGGGCCCTCCACCAGATGAGGCTGTACCTATGGTTCTATCTCCCCTGCTGGACTCTGATCCAAGACCCTTGAGAATACCAGAATTTTTCCTGGCCTGGAACTGGTACCCAGAAGCTCCAGCTTGTTGACAACAGGAAAGCCACTTCAATTCATGGGCAGTGCTAACGGGCACACTCTTGGCCAATGTGGACAATGTGACGGCAAAGTATAGAGGCTTGGCCGGAGAGGTTGGCAGGAAAACAAAGCTGGCTTGAAGGAAGATCCTGAGGCTATCGTGACAGATGGCCAGGGAGCCGCCGGCCAATTCTAGCCCTTACAAGGCTGGCTGCAGGCTTGGCTGTGGATGCTAGGACACGTGTCTTCCTCTTCCCATAAATCCAGCCCCATCCTTGTCTTTAAGCACAAACTAGCTGAGCAGGATTTGATTTGTGGATGGAAATAGCCCTGCTGTTCCTTCAAGGAGGTGTCAGGTAGGCAGGAGACCCCTGAAGCACCTCTCAGGTAGCTCTCCTTATTCAGATACCCAGGGCCACTGTGGCAACTTGCAAAAATGCTCACCTAACATTTGCTCTCAAAACCAAAGACCTGCCTGAAAGAATGTGCATAAATCACCTCCGAGTCCTTCATGTGTCCCTCTGTCACTCTCAGATATGGTCATGGTATCGGAAGGTGTTACACACGATGCCTTTTCCATTTCCTTTCCCCAAGAACCAGCTCTTCCCTGGCCCCAGTGTTTGCTCCTGCCCTGTCTATTTCGGGTGGCATCATAAAGCTATAGCCTCTTTATTTCTATTCAGCTTGTGTTTGCAGCAGTGCCGAAGAAAATTATAATTTGTATATGACACTATTTGATATGGTTGCATACTGTTGAGCACAAAACATTCCAAGTGTGATTATTATGCTTTAAATAATTAGGTGACTGGTATCTTAATTGCTTTACATGTTGTAACAACTCTGGGCAGTTTGTTACGAAGGTGTTTGAGATTGTTTTAGTGATACTGGAGAAAGCCATTAAGAACATATTATTATCTCCCTTTCTCCTTTACCATAAAGGGATATGGGCTCTGAAAATTCTGTTTGACATTTTCAGAAATAGATTGGGTCCGTATGACCAAGCATGACTATGGTAGTATCATCCAACCTTCCAGGAGAACCTGTGAACAGAGATATGAGGGTATGCCAGGGACAGGGCTGACTTCTGTTGGCCTAAAAATACCTGCTTTGTCTCTGAGCACAGCAGCGTGTGAACCTACCTCTCTCCAGGTTTCAGTCTCCACCATCTTGAGAGATGAAACAGGGACTCAATATTACAGTTTAGATCTAAAGTGCCCCCAAGGTATCATGTGTGTGGAAGGTGATCAGGGTGCTACGGTGGTCTGTGGACTCATCTACTGATGAGGTCAGTATCCGAATGAGGTAGGTCACTTGGGGAATGGCCTAGAAGGGTGTATTCTTGTCCCTAGTTCTTCCCTTCTCTCTCTGCCTCTTGAATACCATAGTTGAGGAGCATTTCTTTACCAGGCTCTTCTACCACACTATTTCTGTTTTTAGAGTTGATCAAGCAAGGACTGAACCCACTGACACTGTGAGCCAAAATAAACTTCTCTTCCTTTAAATTGTGGGTGTTGGTTATTTTGTCCCAGTGATGGGAAGGCAAGCGACTAACACATCCAGAGCTCAATGGCTGACAAGCTGCTCTCATACTGATCGGCATAAGATGAGCCCACGACATGTAACAACCTACTCGCGGGGACTTCTGAGAAGTGACTCTTGGTCTTTTTCACTGAGTGAGAGCCCAGAATTGCAGCCATTCTACAATCACGTAGGATCTGAAGACAACACAACACCACAGAAGTGAGAATGTGGACTGAGAAGAAGATGCCAGACAGGGACTGTGAAAATCCTGGATTAAGCTGTGCCTGAAGCTCAGAAGGCTTCTTTTATGACACTGTTTACGTAAGCAAGTTTGCATTGGTTCTGTCACTTACAATACAAATGTCCTGTCTGAAACCGAGGGAAGGAAGATGGTAATCTCAGGATGGAGACTTGCACTGGCCTGAGAACATGTGGTCTTCTGCCATGTGGCAGGAAGACGCACAGAAGTTCTGAAAGCTGGGCAAGCTGCCCTTCTCTCTGCGGTAGGGATTTTCTAAAGCACTTTGCTACGTCATAACCTGAGGGACTGTGACTTCTCATACATGTTTTGAGGTACTTACCTTTGGTATCATTAAGATAAAGCTACTGGTCTAGGAATTAGCCTTGTTTTCCTGGGGGGGGTTATACTGCGCTGTCTGGCTCACTATGACACTGGTGATGATTTCCATTTGTTCATTTATTTATTCACTTATCCATCCATCCACCCACAAACACTGAGTGGATGTGTACTGTGTGGTCAGAATAAACTATTAAGGAGAGAAAGGATGAAGAATATGTGGTCATGGTCTAGAAGGGAAGACAGGTAAATGGACAACTTCACTATAGGGAAACTCACAGGGCTACGGAAGCACAGATTGGGTGACCAGGCAACAGTCAGACTAGGCTTCCCAGGGGACAAGAGTGAAGGCAAGGAGTTGCTGAGTCAGCAAATGGGCTAGAAGGGTACAGGGTGACACTGCATGTGACAAGCGGCAAGTGCAAGGGCCTGGCTGTGGGGAGGGGAACACACTGAGTCTAAGAAGTCCAGATAAATGCAGCACATGCAGCTTACCAGCAAACACAATTACTGTTTAAAACTCAAACTCAAAATCACACTCCAAAGCCATATGGAAACGATTTCCGTATTATTCTCCCTTCTGGAAAATCCTTTTCTCTTCTTTGGAAAATATTAAATATCAAAGCATAAAGCAAAAAGTATGTTCCAAAGTAATGGATATAATTTTTAAGTCGAGGAAATAAAAAGTCTAGACCCTAATGTCTTAGTGGAAAGTAAGTCCCAACCTGCAGCTCACCAGACTCCACGACTCCTTACCTGCAGGTCAAAGAACTTGCTGTAGCGCCGGTAAATCGCCTCGGTGGAGCCACTGGACCACGTGACACGGATGATGTAGACCTGCGGGGAGGGACACGCGAGACAGGCGTTAACACCAGGTGGCTGCTGCGTTTTAAATGTGTCCCCAAAGTTCATGAGCTGGAGACTTCGGCCCCAACACAACAGTACTGGCAGAGGTAATCAGGTCATGAGGCTCTGCTCTCAGACACAGTGGATTTGCTATCAGGACAGTAGGCCCATTATAAAAGCGAACTTGGCCCACTCTCCCCTCTCCTGCTCTCCGGCCTGTCTGCCTTCTGCAATGCATTATGTAGTAAAAAGGCCCTTGCCTGAGGCCAGCCCCTTGATTTTGGATTTTTAGTCTCCAAAACTGTAAGAAATCTCTGTTCTTTATCAATTACCCTACAGTACCCTATTATGGCAGTATAAAATAAAGTAAGATGGGGGTCTTTTGTTTCTGGGACTACACAAGAAGCACAAGGTTCTGAGTCAAAAAACACCCAGATTTCAACCTCAGCTCTAAGGCAAAAGTTACTGGCTGTCTGAACCTTAGTTTCCTTCTCAATGCAATAGGTACAATAATCCCCACCCGCAGAGGTATGCAAAGGACTAAAAGATATCAAGCACAGGACAGTGACAGCAGTGTCAGCTCAGGAGCAGCGGTTACTGTCAGCGCTGTGAGGATTTCTTGCACCTTGCTCAGTTCAAGGAGCCCCAGGCTGTTCTTATCAGTCATACTTAAAACCTTAGTCTTTACCAAGAGAAAGAAGAAGACCTGAGCTAGTAAAACTCTTATTTTCCACAGGCTGAGCCATCCTGCCATTTTTACCAGGAGGACTCTTTCCAGGTCATTTTTTCCTTCTGAATCCTAGTTTTTCCCTCTGCTTCCCCTGCTTCCCAGGATGAATATGAAGGTCTGATACAGTCAGGGCTGGGAATCACTTCATCAACCACAGGGCTGTGTTTCCAGCCTAACCTTTGTCACAGCTGAAGCACACACAGGAAACAACGCATTGACAACAAATTTTGGCAAAGCAAAGGTGGCTGTTGGAGGCAGAAGCACTTGGCTGGGGCTGTAGTGACCCTGGAGACCAGCAGGACCCCTAAGGGCTAAGGGATCTGCACACCTGTAAGCCACTCATGGCTTGTAGTAAAGCAGTTATGACAATTCAAAACATGCATGGGACAACTCTTTGGAGACACAAATGTGCTATGCACATGAAGGGGCTCAGGTTTGTTTGGGCCATGGCGTTACAGGTAGGACCTCTGCCCTCCATGAGCTAGGATTTGTTGGCAAATGCTAGGGTCTGGATCAGAAATGTCCCAGAAAGGCCCCATTTGAAAGGCTGGGGGCCAAGTCACTATTGAGAGATGGCAGACTCTTTAAGAAAGGGTGCTGGGTAAAGGAAGGACAGTTACTGGGGCATGTCCCGGAAGGAGAGTGGAACTATAGCCCTTTCCTGTCTCTCTTTGTTTCCCAGATACCATGAGATCAACTAATTTGCTTTACCACATGCTCCCTGTCTCGCCACAGCCCCAAAAGCAATACAGCCAAGAGACTGAAACCTAAACTGTGAGCCAAATAAACTGCTCCTTATAAGCGGATTTATCTTAGGAACTTGTTACAGCACCGAGGGGCTGACTAACAGAGACCAGCTTAAACTACCAAGGAACTGTCCAGTGTATAATTGCATTGTGAGGCACATCCAAACTCTTGAGTTATCTTTGAAGTCAGTTTAAGCTGGGTCTCTGATACATGTCACCTAGTGTAGACTGACATGGAGATGGGGAAGACAGAGGTCTCTGAAGCCGAGTTATCAAGTGTACCCTGTCAGACATGTATGACTGAGACAGCTGGGGAGGAAAGGAGAGACTAGATGGAGAGATGATGAGGGGACCAAGAAACAAAGACCAGTTCAGGAATGACAGGGCACTGTGCCTGGCAATGATTTCTAAAGTGGTGCTAGGCCGAGTCTCTTTTCAAATGAATTCTTATAAGGGCTCCCACATTCAAAACAGAAAAAGGAGCCAAACACGGTGGTGAAGGCCTAGAAACCCAGCACTCAGAAGGCTGGGGCAGGAGGATTCTGCCCGGGCTCCACAGTGAGTTCAAGGCCAGCCTGCATTACATGCTGAGATCCCTCCAGGCTGCCAAAAGAGAGAAAAAAAGAGGGAACAGCTTCAGGGAGATGGAGCCAGGATCCAGTATGAATACCATGGACATCATCTAGGTGAGAAGAGAGGAAAATTGACAGACAAATCGGGCAAGCTGTGAGGTAGCCTGGAAGGCCAGGCTAAGACGCTCACTGACCTCTCTAAACCCCACACAATTTTATCTCAAAGAAGCAGGCAAAAAGGAAGGAACTCATTTCCCATTTCTCCAGTCTCGGCTTCCTTATCTGTAAAACTGATGATAAAAGGCAAAGCCCTGAGTTCCTCTCCAGGCAGACAGGAAACAATCAACAAATTCTAGAGCCTGGCACTTGGCTTCCCTAATGCTTCCCCAGTCTTGTTCACAAAAACAAGACTGCTTTTACACCTTGGATGTGGGCAGCCTGGCTCAGCCCATCCTTTGTTCACCATTCCTAGGCAACTCAGATGGTCACAGAAAAGGCGAATGCATACTTTAGAGATGCGCATTCCTGATGAACAGAAAGCTGCACTTCCAAATCTACCTGGCCAGTCACACACATGGAAAGTGTCCTTAAAGACGTCTTCCAATCTGCTCGGTAGCCTTCAATTCTCCCTCACCAAGTGTCCAGCCTTGAGGGCTGGATGGCTCCTATTCATTTGCTCATTCATTTTACATTTACTAAGCACCTCTTGTGTGCCAGGCCTCCCCTAGGTGCTGGAATATATCTGGGAACAAAATAGACTCAAACCCCACCCTTGGAGGGTAGGAAGATGGATACCAAATCAGCAAGCCAGCAGATATGCCTGTCTATGCCTGTCCACCCTGTGGACCCAGGGTCCCCACCTCCAGAGACTGAAAATGTTGCTGACAGGTGCTGCTTATCCGTAGTAGTTAGGCCTACTATGGATACACTTGCATTTAATTCTAAAATCACAAAAGCATATAAATGCAATCAGCCTTCTGTATCTTCAATTTTTGTCACTTATCATTATCCCCTTGTCTTTACTCTTGATTTAGTAGCTATTTGCATAGTATTTACATTGCATTAGGTATTACCAATAATCTAGATACTATTTAAAGAATATTGGAGGAAATGCATAGGTCCTGTGAGAATACTATAGCATTCTATACATGGGACTTGGGCGTCTGTGGATTTTGGTGTCCTTGGGGGTCATCCTGAAGGACATCATCCTCTGACATGGAAGGTCACTTAATTATAAATTACAGTGAGTACTAGGCAGGCCCAAAGGGTGCACAAGAGAGGTGGGGGTTGGGGGCTTGCTTCTTAGGTGAGCTAGCCTGGGAAGGGAGGACCTTTGAACTCAGAACTAAAGGACAAGGAGCTGGTCCCAGGAGCACTGAGGAAAGGACATTGCAGGCGGGAGGAATGGTGGCAGCAAAAGGCTGGGGTATGCTGGGCCCACGCAAGCCCAGGACAGCACTGTGGCCGGGCAGAGCGGGAGGAGGAAGAGGGAAGCTGAGGAGGGGGCAGTAGCTGGAAGACAAGGGACTTCCAGGCCAGAGAGCAGTGGGGCTGATGTTCTACTGAGGAGTTTTAACTGGTGGAGGGAAGCATTTGAATGGATCTAATGTACTGATACATGAATCCAGGAGCCGCTAGTTCCAGGAACCTATGGTATCAATATCTGCATTTGCTCGAGTCCTTTACATAAAACAGCACTGTATTTGCACAAAACCTACAGACATCCTTCCGTATAGCTTAAATCATCACTAGAGTACTTATAATATCTAACACATAGTATCTAACTATTACACGTTTGTATGGATTCAGCCTAGCATTCAATGTGTGGCAAATTTTGCATTCTGGAACTTTCTGCATTTTTAAAAAAACATTTTGATCTGAAGGTGGTTGAATCAGAGGATGTGGAGCCCCAAGGATACAGATCTGAGGGCTGATTGCATTTGTATGCCACTGTGATTTTAATTGTACATATTTATGGAGTACAGTATGTTAATTCAGTCCATGTATAAATGTGTAATGATCAAATGTGAGGCTCTCCATCCAACTGTGTATTTTTAAAAACATCCATATATATCCCCTCAGCTGCTATATAGAAAATGGTTTGGAGAGGAGCAGGGACAAAAGCAGGGGAACTTTTGCAAATCCAATAAGAAATTAAAAGCTGAAAGAAACCCCTGAACTCAGCCAGGCTAATGTCTGCCTTCTAGAGGGATAAACTGTGGCCTAGAAAGGGAAAATACTGTACCAAGAAAAATTTGGAAGACTATCTGTCAAGGACACTGCCAATGAGGATTAAAAAATAAGAAGGAACAAGGAGAAAGACCATCAAATACTGTGTGCTTTCTTAAAACACAAAACAAAGCAATCTTCCATAAATGGGAACAAAGTCCTGTTATACAATTCATTTTTAGCCTCTTGTTTACAGTTTTTAAAGTTCTGCATGTACGGTACAAAAACTCTGCTGCAAGCCTAATAGGTTTATTGGCATCAACCTCGGAACCAGATTTGACACCTCAATTTTTAGGTCCAGACCTAACTTTTAAATGAGAATTTCCTTATTCCTGGGTTTGGGGATGGGTCCCAATGCCAGCTCTGTGCTGTGGGTACAAAGACTCACAAGACACCACCCACTGTGGCTGCAGTGGTTTTTTCTGTGGAATGGGGAAGTTGGTTTCCTTGAGGATTAAGTGCCTAACAATTACAGAGTTTTGCTCAGTGCCTCGCACAAATCAGGAGTAAAAAGTGTCTTTTTCCTCAGAGTGGGTATTCCATGCTCCTACTTGTCTGGTACCTTTTCCCCTCTTTGGGACAGCACCTTGACTTCTCTGGAGAGTCATGTCTTTCTTCCCTAGTCTTTGTGAGGGGCTGGACATATGTTCAGGTCCAATCTACTATACCAGTGTGTAGTCACAAAGACAGTTCAGTAATGAATGGGTGATTGAC